AAATTCTATGGCATCCATTGCCTGGAGTTGCCAGTCACTTTTGGACTTAGTTCTTTAAAATTTCAGATCCTTTCAAATCTGTTCAGATTCTAAGGAAGTGAGGCAGCACCAGAGGCAGCTGAAAGACGGTTCTGGGGTGAGACTGGGCTGTGCAGGGGTTCCCGTGACCACGAACACCTAAGTGCAGCCTCATGTGGACCCGGGGGCCCTCGGCAGCCAAGGAGTGGAGGAGGGGTGGTGCTGGGAGCGACCAAGGGGGAATTTCAATGCTTCCAGGGAGCGCCATCAACCTGGAGTGTGGTGAACAGGGCGTGGCACGTGGCACAGCAATTTGCACAGGCAGGGAGAGCAGGAAAGGCTCCTCTCTCGGACCACGTAGGAGCAGCCAACAGAGCAGCCAACAGAGCAAACAGGCTCAGAAACTGGTAAGGTAGAGCTTAAGCTTCCTCAGTTATGGCTGACATGCCATAAAGCTCAATTCCTTGTTGCTGCAGGACTCACTGTACCAGCCGTGGCAGATGCAGCTCTCCAGGTCACAGGTTGCCAGGAGTGCCTGATGCCTCTTCATGATGCTGGGGCAGACAAACAGTTATTTTGCAGAAGATGTGCTGTGGTTGAAGAGCTGTGTCACCAAGTGAAGGAGCTATGGGAAGAAGTGAACAGGCTTCACAGTATTCAAGCAAAAGAGCAAGAGACAGAGCAAGACTCTCGGGAGTCTTGAACCTCTGTTATAGTGAAGAAAGAGGTGGACTCAGAACTCAACAGGGAAATTAGTCAAAGGAATGTTAGTCTGTTAAAGATGAAGGCTGGAAGCTGGTCACTGCACGTACCAGGAGGAAGATTCCTCCTCCTTCTCAAAATATGACAGGTAGGACTTGCACATTCTACAACAGGTATGAGGCTCTGGCATTAGAAGGCTGGACAACTGAGGAGATGGGTGAAAGTCCTTCTAGGGTAGTGGGGTCCCTTAAAATAACACCACCTGTACCCACACCCAGACCTTCTCTGTCAAGAGGAAAAGAAGGGTAGTTGTAATAAGAGACTCCCTTCTAAGGGCAACAGAGGGCCCGATATGCAGATCAGACCCAGCTCACAGGGAAGTCTGCTATCTTACATAGGCATGGGTAAGGGACATTACTGGAAAACTCTCAAGTCTAATAAGGTACTCTGATTACTGTCCACTATTGGTTGTTCAAACTGGCAGCAATGAAATAACAAAGAGGGCAATCAGAAGAGGCTTCAAGGGCCTGAGATGATTGGTAGAGGAATCAGGAGCACAGGTAGTAATCTCCTTTATCTTTCCAGTAACAAGGAATAATATTAATAGGAATATAAAGATTCATCAGGTCAACAAGTGGCTCCAAGGTTGGTGTAATCAGAAAAATTTTGGGTTTTTTGACCATGCAATGATCTACTCAACACCTGGTCTACTAACACCCGACACGATGCAACTTTCTCAGAGGGGAAAAGAATTTTAGTGCAGGAGCCAGTGGGGCTTGTTGACAAGGCTTTAGACTAGCTTGGAAGGGGGAAAGGGTCAAAACCAGGCTCACCAGTGATGAGCAATGGAATGATGTGCCAAAACTTGAGGAAATGAGCCCTCATGGGATCCCTCAATCTGCCTCAAGAGGTATTGGCTACAATGTACCACACCTGAAATATTTCTACACTAATGCACGCAGCATGAGGAACAAACAAGAGGAGTGTGAAACTTTGGCCCAGTCCCAGAGATTTGACATCACTGCGTAAGTGAAACCTGGTGGGATGAGACCTGTGACTGGAGTGCCCTGCTGGATGGTTACAGGATCTTCAGGAGGGATAGACAGAGCAGAAGACATGGAGGGGCAGCACTGTATGTAATAGAAGGGTTAGAACGTATGGAGCTCACAGTTGGCAATGGCAGAGAGAGTCTCTGGGGGCAAACAAAAAAATGCAGATATCAACACAGGAGACTGCTACAGACCTCCCAGCCAGGACGATGACACTGCCAACTTATTCTTTAAGGAACTAAAGTCAACTGTCCTTGTCCTTATGGGTGACTTCAACTTTCCAGAAATTAACTGAGAGCATCACACAGCTGGTAGAACCAGGGCCAGAAGATTCCTAAAAACCTGGATGACAACTTTATGGAACACATCCTAAGGGAATTGACTCAGAAAGACGTTCTCCTTGATCTGCTGCTTGTCAACAGAGTGGGTCCTGTGAGCAAAGTGGAGATTGGTGGCCATCTTGGCCACAGCAACCACAAAGGGATCAAGTTTAAAATCTATGCTGACAGGAGCAAAAGTGCCAGCAAAACCTCAGCTCTGGACATGAGGACAGCAGACTTTGGGCTGCTCAGGGAACGAGTAAGTAAGGTCCCTTGGGAAAGGTTTTTGCAGGTGCTGCAGTCCATCACTGCTGGTCACTTTTCAAACATCACCTCCCAAGGGAACAGAAGCAGCAATTCCCAAGTGTTGGAAGTCAAGCAGGGGAGGCAGAAGGCCAGCTTGGCTGAGCAGGGATCTTCTCTTGGAAATAAGGCACAAAAGGAAGGCGTATGCTCAGTGGAAGCAAGGTCAAGTGATATGGGAAGAATACCGAGATGTTCCTTCCTGTTTTAGGGAAAAAATTCATGTGGCCAAAGCTCAGCTGGAGTTGAAGCTGGCCGGAAATGTGAGGATCAATAAAAAGAGTTTTTTCAAATACATTAATATACTGCAGTAGGCAGTATAGAAATATCATTGACCCATTACAGGATGTGGATGGTCACCTCACAAACAGGAACATAGACAAGGCAGAGGTGTTGAACACTTTCTTTGCCTCTGTCTTCAACACGGATGAGGGATCAAGGGTGTCTAAGTGCCCTCAGACGGAGGACCATGACAGAGAATGATCAACTCCCAGTCGACTCTGAAATTGTGTGGAATCTGCTACTCCAGCTGGATTTCTAAAAATCTATGGGGCTAATGGGATTCATCCCAGAATCCTCAAAGAGCTAGATAATGTAATTTCAGAACCTCTCTCAGTGATTCTTGAGCAGTCTTGGGAATCCGTAGAGGTCCCAGCTGACTGGAAACTGGTGAATGTTGTCCCAATTTTTAAGAAGGGCAAGAAGGAGGACCCCAGAAACTACAGGCCTGTCAGTCTCATAACTGAGACTTCACCAGTCCATAACTGGTGAAGTTATGGAGAAGATTGTTATGGCAAGTATTGAGGAACAACTGAAAGACAACACAGTCTTTGGTTACAACCAGTACAGCTTTGTGAGAGCAAGGTCTCACTTATCAAACCTGATTTCCTGAAACCTGATAGGAGGGGCAGACACTTATGTTTTCTCTGGGGCGACCAGTGACAGAACCCAAGAGAATGGCCTGAAGTTGTGTCAGGAGAGGTTTAGGTTGGATATTAGAAAAAGTTTCTTCACCCAGAGGATGGCTGGGCACTAAACAGGCTCCCCAGGGAAGTGGCCACAGCACCAAGCCTGACAGAGTTCAAGCAGCATTTCAATGATACTTTGAGGCACTCGGTGTGACTCTGAGGGATGGTCCTTTGCAGGGCTGGGAGTTGGACTTGATGATCCTTGTGGGTCCCTTCCAACTTGGCATATTCGGTGATTCTGTGAAGTCCCAAATATTTGACAAACAAGGAATGCAGTATCAGGGCCTGAAGAGAAGCAATATCGCATATTCTCACAGGGGAACAGAGAAAGCATATGAGTGATCTTTACTTTAAAATAAAAAGACTGCTCAAACCCACACAAAGCAAAATCTCAAGACATGGTTTCAGCAATGATCTTTTCTTTGGAAATCCTTTGTGTCTAAAAATAATCATGCCTACATTACTCAAAGCCTAATAAATTTTGAGTTTAGTTGATTTCACTGAAATGTTTTGTTTTTCAACTGACGGACAAAGTGACTTTTTGAAAACACTGAACACTGTGTTTCATTGCAAAGGCACTGATTTTCAGATTAAAATCTGAACCCATTAAATTACAAGCCACGACTACATGCTGTGGAAATTCAGGTCCCGACACTCATAATATTATACAAATTAGGAGCATGAAGAATATGATGACCTTGAAGCCATAAAAGACTGCAAATTTGCAGACATACCATTTAAAATGCATTGAGCAAACCTAGGTCTAATACTTACAATTCAATTCAGGAAATAGTGTATAAAGATCATTAGAAATAACCTGAGAATATGAAGAGTAACATAGCATGTCATAAAGAGTGTAGGTCAATTTAGGCTAAACAGACCTTACAGGATAAGAAAATATTGGAGGTACAACACAAATGTGTAGGCAAACGCTTACAGAAAACAGTTGCAGTACAACTAGCCATTAAATGCAATCTTTGCTTTGCAAAAATTAAAGTGGATCACATGGTCATATCTGTACACCTTATTTAGATTTAGACATTGTGTAGTGTCAACTCAGGAACAAAAATCAGAAGGCTTGGATCCCTGACTGACCCTCTGTTCATGCAGAGGTACCCAATTGCAAAGCCCCAAACCTTAGTTGTTGATCTTTGGTAAATTAGGAAATATTTGCCCCAATAGGGAATTTTGCAAGCAGAAATTCTTCAAAATAATACTTACTTTTGATTTTAGATAGTTACTCTTCCTCTTTGTCGCATATCCACAGTCACCACTTGAATATGACAGTAGCTTGAACCTGCCATGTAATCTGACATACCTGTATTGCGTTGCTCTGTGTTTAGTCACTTGAATTTGCATTGCTAAACTGCAATATAAAAATCTTATTATCAGATACTGTAAAAGCCTTATTTCTTTGGAAAAGGTTCCTTGGAAACTGCTGTTATACCTTCAGCCTAATTTCAAATTTGTTGTTGAATTCTGCCTATACAGTGAAAACAGCCTGTGCAGAAAACACCAAAATATCAGTGGAAGTCTCAAAGTTTCAAGGCAAAAGTCAAAGTATTTTGACTGAAAATTCTTAAACATTCATCACACCAAGATGAAAAGATAACAGATTGTCTTCTCTAAGACTGACTCACCACAGAGAAGTTCATTCCTAGTTTAGGTACAGTAATCACCATCTGAGGAAAGCACACTGAGTTCAAGTTGATTCCCTCAGCTGTGATTGTACTTCCACCACTAGGAAAAATTTAAAAAAAAAAAGGAAGAAGAAAAAGAAAAAAAGAAAGAAGATGAGTAGGATAACAATACATCTGCTGTGATAATGTTAATTACAAATTATATTTTAAAGTGAATGGTAACATAAAACCAGAATTAGGGATATATGGGGTGAGTGCAAATAGCTTTGTGCAGTGAGATTATTTTTCTGGGAAATAAATTTTATACTTACTATAACAACTAATCAAATAAAGAAAAGAAAAATAATTTTTAAAATTGTGGTATGCCAGGGTACAAAACAAAAGTGTACATTTTAAAAGAGGGTGCATACTTGTACTTCACATTTGCTTTTTAACTTATTGCTTTCAGTGGTGCTGAAAAAGGTGTCTGTTTTACTGCTGACATTATTTTGGCAAAGGCAGTTGGCTTGGATTATTGCTACTGAGACCATAAATATGCCACTTGAAAACACACATACACTACCATACATATATATTCATAATATTTATATAGCACTGGATTTAGACTATTTTAAAATCCATTTGCTCTCCTGAGTACCCCTGACTTGTCACATTAAATTATTTTCCTCACTAATCAGTGTAATGTCCAGACACAGTACAGGAGACACATTTAGCTGTACAGGAGGTATCTCGGCAAGACACCACAGGTAGGCTCAGCAACAGTTAGGAGTGAAATCACATAAGGAAAAGAGCCACCCTTCCCCCTTCTCCTTCACCTCTGAAAGGAAATGATCTGCCCTCTGCAACTGCACCATAATGGAAGCAATTGGCATGGCAGATGAAGATAAAAATGCAATTTCTTTTGATGGATTGCTGCGCAGCATAGCCATTCTTTGTTCATTCGTCACTTTTCTTGTTTCTATGAGAAACTTTTACTCACCTAAGAAAAGATTTGGACGGATGAATTTTTAAAACAACAGGGTCTTCTCTGTATGTGAAATGGCTGCTCGCGTTTCGAATAGCTCCATCGATTTCCATTCTCACACGATATTCCTGGGGAATTTGCTGCGCTGGAGTGTAGCACTCCACAGTGCTCGCCAGTATGCTGGGAGGACTGCAAAGGGATTGCTTGTCAGTATTATAAAGCATGTACTTGGTTTAAAACACTGTCCTTTAGTAAGCCCCAACATCGCCTAGGGATCTGCTTGTAAGAAAATGTCATTGATTTTCCCACTGGATAACCATATGGCAACAAGCACCACTGCCTAGGCTCAAGATTCATCTTAATTTAGTTGACTTGCTACTGGAAGGTGTTTCCCTAGCACTGCTGGCAACCACATCAGCCCTTGCACCCTGCAAAGGCAGCTTTCAGCCTGGAAAACACCACCACACTCCAGGTTTAAGGAGAATGACCTGATCTGCTGTAACCAAGGGATAATGCCTCTTTCAAATCCACAGGACTTATCCTGTGTTAAAAACCTCAAGTAAAGGTGCTAGTGTGGGATGTCCCCACTGCAGAGAATCTGTGCTTAGTATTTAACATTTATATACAGCTGTGATTGAAGGCTTTTCCACACAGGGCACATCAAAGATTTTTGACTGAGCTCCTACTGGATCCAGTACAGAGACATGAGAAATTCTGGCTTAATCCTCAAAACAGTTTTTTATATATACCAAAGGCAGTCCCAATGTGATGCTGCCTCTGGTTGTTCACTGACAGCAGTGCAGAAGTAGTTGCTCCTCTGCATGGGATACACATTTCCAGACTGGTCAGGTCTCTACCAAACAAAGCAGTAGGAAATGGTAACCTGCACCCACTGGATCTCACTGGCAGCTGCTGCATGAACAATAGCTCTTGATAATACAAGGGAGAAGGCTGAGTGTGTGGGAGTCGGGGTGAAAAAAATTATGGGAAATAGGCAGCTTCTAGTCCATTAGAAGTTGATTTGCTACTTCTCTATGCAACCTTTTAATGAGGTTAATGAAGACATGACAGAATAAACAAGTCTTCTAGGGAACCGTAGTCCCTTCTAGAAATCTTTCAGACATCCTGAACTCAGGATATAATCCAGAGCTGAATGCTTATTGCAGTATAAATTCCCCGATAAGTGACACAAGGAGAGGAAAGCTAATGCATTTTTGCATTTGCTTTTTTCAGCTCCAAGACATTTTAATCAAGCCATTTCAATATTAAGGGCATAACTTTTTAATAAATACATTACCTTTTCAAAGTGCATGGTTGCTCACCAACAAAAATCCTTATGGATTTTCCACTCCTTAGGTATTTTCCAGCTACAGTTAACAATGTTCCTCCAGATTTGGGGCCATAAGTGGGGGATATACTTGTTATTACAGGATTCTAAGGGATGGTAAAAATAAGAACAGTGGATTATGAAATTATTTCAAAATATGAAGAAGAATCTTAAAACATTTATTAGCATTTCCATGAAGTAATAATAAAGCCAACAGGAATATAGAATTACCATACTGGACTGGACTCATGAGAAGTTCCTTCCAGTTAATACTGAAGCTAATTTTGACTATAAAGGTTTAATATCATAGTGCTTACCACATACGAAAATGTATTGAACAGTGTTTTGCCATGTCCAACAGAAACACTACTGGATATATTAAAACCTGGACTTTTTGCAGCAGGAACTGTGCATTCAAGCCTTTAGAAAACAAGGGGAAAAAAGGGATTACATTTAGTTTCTGCTTGATTTTTTTTGTATTAAAATAGAACCACTTCAAACTCATAATAATGGAGAATACATACTAAACAGATCATCAATGTATGAGCATCAAGGACATTTCAGAAGTAACAGCTAAAAGAACTCTGCTCCTCCTCTTTAATAATAAATACACACAGTATGGTCTTTATACTTGGCCAGAAAATAATAATAATAATAGTATATCAAATATATTTCAGAAAAAAGAAGCATGCTAGAGAAAAAAAAAAGACCTCCCATTCAACAGCTGAGGGTCTTTTTTTTTTTTACTTTTCCTTTAGTATCAAATTTTGGCAGATAACAGGATTAGAAAAAATGCATTATATACACACATTTGTTGTATAAATTTAAATATTACCAAAAAATTAAACTTGAAGTTTTGTGGCAGCATATGTCAATGTATTATATTACATTCACACAATCTCATATGTGACATAATCTCTTTAAATCATTTTGTTTCCATTAAGACTGTTGAGAACAGCAGTTAGGAGAGTGCTCAATACTTCTTGAGTACTTGCTGGAGTATACTTGCTGCTATATGTGCTATATGTGAACAGAGAAGCTGTGCCATGATTTGCACATTGCTTTGGTGGTAGATAGTCATATGCTTTGAACCGAAAGAGGATATTCACTGAACTTCCTATTTCTTCCAGATAACAGTAGTAATAACCTCTGTCTTAAGTCATTATCCCACCATCTCAAATACTTATTTCTGAGGAAGAGGAGGAGAGGTGCAGCTGGGGGTCATAAGCTTCTGGATGACGAAATATCTGCATCTTCTCCCATTTCTCTCCAGCAGCTTCACAGACCAAGACGACAGAGGTGACATAACTGAGTCCAGCAGGATCCTGGCCAAAGGAACCTGCCCACTTTTCAGAACTTTGAATAGCTTCATTCTTGCCAGCTCCCACAGATGTTGAAGACCATTTCACAGACAAACCAGAAAAAGCTGCTGCAGGGGCTACTGGCATAAACTTGATTTATTGTTCTCCATTTTGAGTACTTTTTTCTTGGGGAGCTTATCAAACCAAGGGATTTTTTTCAACTTGAAATTTCAGAATCTGAGATGATACATATTTGTAAAAAAAATCCATATAAAAGGACATTCACATTTTAGGTTTCTTACTTGTTTTTGTTGCTAGATTTTGCTTCCAGAGCACAAACTTTTCCTCCAATATGGACTACTGTATTTTTTAATTCAAATCTATTATTTTTGCTGAATCCAAAGTCCCATCCACACAGTGTCAGCTTTGTCCCACCTTCTATGGGGGCACTGCTTGGGAGAATCTGTCAAAAAAATATTGTGTTAGTTGAATCAGGTTTTCTTGAACTTCAAATGGAGCTAAAGAATGTGCAAAGAATTAATTTTAGAAAAGCATTTCTTTTGCTAGACTACGTTCTAGCATTCATCTTAATTGTTCTTCACCTTTCATTTGTCACATTATGAGCTTTCTCTGGCAGTAGCAATAAATAACGAAACCTATACCAGAAAGCTTTGAAAGTTAGTGTTTAGGGGCACTGAACAAGCTGTGCATTGTAACAGTCTTTTAAATCCTGCTGTTCTTGTCTTTCACATCTTATTTCTGGCATGTTAAACATACAATATACTTATTTTGTTAGAAGCTGAATGCTGAACACAAAAGAGCCCCAAAATGACCATTTTTTGTCAGCTTGATGAAAGTTGGGTTCAGAGTGAAGTAGCTTCAAAGACACCATAATCTGGTATCGCGTTGACTGTGATAAAGTTAACGTGACTTCTGCTATTCTTTCCTGAAATCTTTTACATTTGGTCACCTCTAATTCTGAGTTAAAAATAAATTACCCCTCAGAAACACAGAGACAATCTACAAAGGAAATCCCTTTTTTTATATATATATTTTAAATTGTCCTGTAAAATATAACAATGGTGGGAAAAACGTAGGAACACTATAGAAGTCTTACAAAACTCAGTAAAAGTACTGGTCAGTACTGCAAGTAAAAAAAAAAAAACAAACCCAACCAACAAAACCCCCCAACATTGGTTCAGGGATTATGAGGACTTTTAACAATACTGCATAATTTTGCAAACATACCAGTACCGCTGAACGCAACAAAGAATGAAAGACTGAATTTATACTTGTGATCATAGTGCCTAAATGTCTTAATGCTTTAGTGATAATAATTTGGCCCCTAAAATGCAATACAGCTGTGCCCTTCAAAGGACCTGACTTAATTTTCAAGCTGAAAGTGTTTGACTGATACTTGGCTATTATTTCATCTGGAAATCCAGTAAGACAGCACATTTCTGTTCAACTCTCTTGTAGGTATACTTCAAGACTCTCACAAATGAAGTATTGTATATAGAAAGGCAGCTGAAGAATACTTCAAAAGAATTATACCATATACTATATATGGGGAAATTTACTGCCCCCATTAGAAACCAGACAAAGAGTCTGATCTAAAATTCACTGAAGCCAGAAGGAATCCTTTCTGTTTTAAAGAGCTTTGAATCAGCTCTCAACAAGCAAAGAAGAGGGAACCTATGCAGGAACAGTTTTTTTTTTTGCACAAATCCTGTAAAAAAGGAGTGATACCCCCACAGCTCCTTGACACACAAAACTGCAGCTAAGAGTGTGGAGCAGTACTGTACCCCATGGAGTCTGTGCTATTCCCAAGTTTAACTTTCTCTTATTTCTTTGGGTTTTTTCCTTCAAAATCGAGATTTGACTTTTGATCCTAGTTTTCCACTCTGCTTAATATCTCAGCACACTTACCTATTTTTGGAGTAATAAAACCCCAGCAGAAAGTGACATTGCTCTGTGGGATACAGGATGTCTCTATGTTTTGTACAATAATGCACTGATGTGGCATTTGAAGAGTTTGAAATGTAATCCATAAGTTAGCAAAATAAGGGTGTTAAAATCAGGCTGCACAAAGCCATACAGAATAAAAACTGAAGGTACCGAACTGTTTTTCAGTGATCTTATCTGCCAAAAGAAACTTGTAATAGCAACCCATGTACCTTAATTGAGGGAGAGTATTTACTACATTCTGCCAACAAATTTAGGAGGCAAGACCTCTAAGCAGAGAGCAAAAAATAAACCAAATCTTAAACTTCTGGTTTTAAGTTCTGCAGAAATTCCCCTAGACTGTTTTTATTCAAGTCTGTATTTTTGTTCCATTTGTTCTGTATGATGAAACATCTGAAAGTCAAATGTGGTTTTTCAGACTTGTTCTTGTGAGAGCTGACAGGAATGAGTAGTCAGCCTCCTGGCATTGAACTCAGGTATATGTAGGTATCTTCTCTGTGCTAACATTGCACAGGTAGTAACACAAAGTAAGCAAAACCCAATCAGATATAAATGCTATGAAATTCGGGATTCAAAAGTTCTCTATAGTACGAAAACCCCACTGATAACATGGAGCAAGTCCTGCTGCAAGGCCTGCCATTCTGCTGTTTTCTGGACTTTGGGTTAAGGGAGGAAGTTAACTTTTGTGTTTTCCTTTTGCTTATGTTGACAGTCATTATGTCAATATCCACTCATATACTTTATACATTTTTGGAAGAAAGTATATATTTATTAGTTTCAATAGCCCATTCATTTCAATTAAGAGACAAGAACATGTACAGACCATATGTGAAATTTCCAGCAAAAACTCCAACCTCAACAGGCAGCGGAAGGCCTGTTGTCCTTGATACATCTGATACAAAAGCCAGCTAAAATGACTCACTTTAAAAACAACAACAAACCATGTCAGATTTTTAACCACAACAAAGAATCAGAAGGGATACCAATTTATTTCTTCTTTTACACCCTTCACCTTTCAGTGTGACCTGAACACCACACACAGATGCTTGCAATTTGTTCCAGCACCAAGTGGTCTCTGAGGAGACTCCCTCGAGTCCTCTGGCTTCCCTCTAGCACTGCTCATCCAGGCTGACAAAACACGCCCCGTGGCTGGCAGAGGCAGTGGATGGGAGTAGAGTGGGAGCTGGGCTGTGGAGGGGATGTGTTCCAGTGCCTGACCTACTACACTGTCGGTAGCAGGGGGGATGCCCGGGCAGAGTTGGCTGCTCCCCACCACCCAGAGCTTCAAGGGAAACTGCTTAAAGCAAGGCAAAGAAACAAAGGATCTGCAGGACTCCATGGGAAGACTTTGCCAACCCTCCTGAGAAGAAAATATCTTTTTCATTGCTCACCACTGTGTGTAATAACCTGGGAAAACTTTGTTGACAACTTCATTAGCTAACATCCACTGGACCAGACCAGACCCTCATAGAGCAATCTGTTCCCTTCAGGTTAAAATGATCATATGACATATCTCAAACAATCTGTCCCTCTGGAAGCTGCAAAATATTAGGCAGAGGTTCAGACTGAATTTCAGATACTATGCAGAGCAGGTCATCCTCTGTTTGTTAGGAACAAAACAAGCTTGTTTCTTACATTTTATGCATATGGGTTTAAAGACAGATCAGAAGATGATGAATAATCTGTTTTATATTTTTTTCAGTAATCATGTTAAATGTCATGGTCCAGTAGAGCATGAAATCTGTCTTAACAGCTAGCAATCCAAAGGGACTTAAGTACCCAGCTGCATTTTTTTCCTTGCAAGCCTTTTAGAAGCAACTTCTACCAACATGGGCACGCTGTAATTTGAGATTCACTTTGAGATCCATCGGTGCCACAGATCCATATTCATCACAGGGGTAGACTGGGTTTGTGCTGAGCAGGAAGGGTTGAGCCACATGGGGAAGGGGAGCAAGCACCTAGCCAGCCTCACACCTGCTCCCTCTGCCCCCTGTCCAAAGCATGCTCCCCTGGATGAGGCCTCCCAGTGACTTCACAGGGACTGGAGAGGTGGCCTTGGGGATGCACCTCTTGGTCTTGGAGCACCTCTTGGATGCACCTCTTGGAGCCTTGTGCATGGGCTCCAGGCTCTTGATTCTTAAAACTGCTGAGTGCATACACTCAAAATTAAAATTAAAGAGGGCTATATGAGCTCAGCACTTCTGAAAATCAGAAACTAAGCAGTTCAGAGTCTGAGAAATCCTTTTTGAGTCATGGAAATATACTGCCACTGCTGGAAAGTTTTGTGAATAAAAAAACATTAACGGATGCTACTTGTGTTTGAACTCTAGGAAAGATGAAACAAGCTGTGCAAGAGGTGAGTACCTTAGGCCTGCAGAAGTACAGAAAAATGTATCAGGGTAACTCTCAGGGTATACCTTTGAATTGGTGATTCATAGTCTCATACAAACTAAGGCCAGAAAGCATTATTTCATCATCTAATATAACCTTTTTGAAATAAATGGCTTCTTATATAAAAGGAAACTACTCACATTATGTGTTAGCGATTTTTGTACATCTCCTTTGCCCAAAGGTAAATGGCAATAGAAGGCAAGGCAAACACAAACACCCCCCATCCTTTCCATCCATTCTGGGTTTCCTGTAACTCTCCATTGTTTGTTCACTGAATTTTGCCTGTGTTAATCCTAAATTTAGTATCTGAAAGGTGAACATGATAAAAAAACCAACATGTGTTTCTAGATTTCTTTCTGGATTAACAGCAGTTTTGCCTGTCCGTTCTTTAAAAAGTTGTTGTACATAAAATCATCTGCCTGGTTGAAGGAAATACATTATTAATTTAAAACCCACTTTTGTCTTCCTTTCTCTCTAGGAGTTTAGCACATCAAATTTTCATCCCTGTTTATAAGCTGTATTCCCATAAAGGAAACTGTACGTTTAACTACACGATGTAGTTTAAATGCACTAACACAAGTAAATGGGTATAAATGCTACCAGGAAGTTTTATGGTTGTCCTTCCCTCAGATTTCTAGTCCATCAAGTGCTTTACAAACCTCTGCCTTCACAGTTATGTCACACTTCACCTGAGAAGATCTGGTTACACGTACAGCATGAATCCTAAATTAACCACAACTAAATTAAAACTGGACCACACCAATGCAGCTCTCTGCTCATCTCAAGCTTGCACAAACCTTGATGGTCTCTGGCCAGCTGGCAGTAGCCTCTGGCTGTCCCCTGTCCCAGGGCACGGGGTGTGAAGCTACACGCTTGTCCCCCATTGGTGGCAAGCGGACCCATGGGAACAAGGAGCCAGGGAAGGACATTATGAAAAGAGCATCTCCTCCAGGAGCTTGGGTAGGGGAGAATGGGAATTTTTCTCATAGAGAAACACCACACTTTCCTTCCGTGCTGGAGCCAGTACAGGGACAGATGAAGAGTGAGAGTCACAGACCTCCTGCATGGGGCCGGGTTGTGGCAGCTGTGGGCGGGAAGTGCTTTTCTCCATTTTCCCCTTTGAGAGGAGTCTGAGAGGAGGGTTACTCCTTTCTGTGGCTGACCTTTCCCATAAGACCCCTGCCAGGCTAGCTCAGATCCATGTTGTTTCCCCACCAGAAGCGCTTTGTAGGGCCAAGGCTCTCCCATGGCTGGTCAGGATACTCAGACAGACCTATCCACCATGAGCACCTTAGCCCACAGCACTCATGGAGAGCATGTGCATCCAGCCAGAGGATTTATGGACACTGAGGCTGAGGGGAAGTTGAAGAGAGCAGACAATTTATCACAATTACATAAACAGAAAATGTCCACAGAGCACAGACCGTATTCTTCCCTCAAGAGAGAAATGGAAGAAATCCACCATTTTACCTCATAAACCCTAGGCAAGCAGGTGTCCTGGGTCCAGGTGCTGTTGGGGCACTCAGGAGACCTGAGGCACTGCTGGCTGCACCAGCCGCACTGCATGAAGGCAGGTGCCAGCAGGCACTGGCTGCAGGACCTGAAGTGATGGCAGCCCGGCCCCTTCAGTGGGATCTTTGTTATCTGTCGATGGAGAGACATAATGCACAGATCATTTTAATACATACACTAAGTGGCAAGGAGAGTCTCTATTTATGCATAGCGCAGTGGTGCTACTCAGATTTCAGATGTGCAAGCCTCAGTTCGACTTCTCTTTAGCTCAGTAATTATAGGATCTTATAAGTAATTTAACTGACATGATTTTAAATTCGCTTGGGAGAAACCCTAAAGGCATCTTAATGTTATATACAGTTACTACCAGCATCTGGTGTTTACAGCAAGATAGAATTTTTTGCTGATGGAGAAAGAAAACAGCAGTGTGCTCCTCCCAATTCTGCACTAGTTCTTGGAAAAAGCAGTGTATCTCAGTATGCCTTAGTTCATACATTCGTAAAAATAGGCAGGATGGCTATTTCGACTTTGGCGAGGCTGTTTTAATGCCTGTGGCACACTTACGGCATGTGACTGCCCATGTACTTGTTTTTTAACACCTAGTGTCAAAAAACTTACACTGTACCTAAAATATAAGTTAAAATGTATATTACCCAAAATAGCAGGATAATTATGATAATAGTCACTTCAAATACGTAAGAATTATTTTTGGACAAAATATTGAAATTAGTATATAATTACATTACTGTATAAGTACCTCATACTTCTTTATATTTCCGTACGTTCCTTAAACTTATTTTGGACATTTTCTGAAGAATTTTTTTTTTAAAAAATCTCAAATTTTTTTTAAAAAAATAAAAAAAATATTTTTTTT